TCCACTCGTAAAGAAGGAATTATGCTGCCTACCAATGTTCTTGCATTGACGTTTACATCGCCACGTCCACCTGCCACTGTCAAGGAGAGTTAGGCTTTATATTCCTAACCCTCTCAGGTGTTTCCAGTGTCAGTGGTTTGGACATTCAAAGGCATATTGTAGTAGTGCTTTGGCGTGTGCTCATTGTGATGGCAAAAACAATGACACCTATAAGTGTCAACTGGACCCTCACTGCATCAATTGTAGTGACTTGCACCCCCTCATACTTTCATTCTTGCCCTAAGTGGGTGGAGAAGAAAGAGGTACAGCATTTAGGGACTGTAAACACCATCTCTTATCCTGAGGCCAGGAAATTATTGTCCCGAGTTCCATCTCGGAAATATGCTGTTGCACTCTATTCTGCTGCTACAGTGGGAGTGCTGGGAGGTCTTTCCATGCCTCCATCAGAGTCTTGTACCCTGTGTGACTACAAGAGATGACAAGTCTATGTCTATTCCTCTCTCTATTCCCACTATTGCTTCCAGTGAGTGCTCGAGCCCATCTCCTTCGGCTTCGAGGTGTAGAACCATTACTTGGTCATGCTATCAGTCACTGGAGTCTTCTTCTTTTGAGAAAGATCTGCCCAATTGCTCTAGGGCAGGTTCCATGGAAGTCAACATACCTCTTTCTACTAAAGAAAAACTTCCTGGTCGCAAACAGAAGGGTTCTCTACCCCGTTTTCCTCCACCTAAATGAAAATGGCCACTTTGATACAGTGGAATTGTCGAGGTTTCTGTTCTTTTTTAATGACATTAAGGCCTTTGTCGATTTTTATCATCCAGTATGTCATTCCTTACATGAAACATTCCTGAAACCTGCCAATACTGTCACCCTTCGGCAGTTTTCTTTATATCAGAATGACAGATTGTGTGGTGGATGCGGTTATGGAGGTGTAGCACTGCTGATTTACCAGCACATACCCATCTTGTTTGTGCCACTCGATACACTATTGGAAGCTGTAGCCATCCGTATCTCTATGGGTCATACCATCACTGTTTGTTTTCTTTACCTGTCTTCAGAGAGATTTACGATCAGTCAGACCTTGATGATCTCATAAAACAGTTGCTGTCTCCTTTTATCTCTCGGGAGACTTTAAAGGACACAATCCTTTTTTGAAGTGGTGCAGATGTTGATGGGTCCTTCTGTTGAGCGTATGCTCTCAGGTTATAACTTTTTCTCTCTCTTCAATACTGGTTGGTTTACCCATTTTCATGCACCTAGTCAGTATTTTACTGCTATCGATCTATCTAACTGTTCTCCTTTGCTATTTTCTAATTTTTCTTGGAAGATTGACAGTGACTCACGGGGCAGTGATCATTTTCCCATGTCTTTGAAATAGGATGGCTGTGGTCATTTCTACCTGACCCGAGTGCTATGTTAGAAGTTGGAGCAGGCTGACTGGCCATCTTTTACCACTCTCTCGGAACTATATCCTGCTGTTATTAGTATTCCATTTATTAATAACTGTGTGTACACAGTGACTGATTTATACTTCAAGCAGCTGTTCATTCTATCCCCAAAACCTCAATACGTTTCCCATAGTATCCTTGTCCCTCGTGGTCTCCTACCTGCCAGCAGACATGGAAGACTCAGAAACGAGACTGGAATACCTTTCACAGGTATCCCACTCTTTCCAACTGTATTGCTTTCCAGCGGGCCTGTGCCCATGCTCGGCAGGTCAGACGTCAAAACCAGAACGAATCTTGGATAAATTTCACCATCAGCATCTCTTCTACCACCAGTTTCAAAGTCATCTGAGACAAGATTCGGAATGTCAATAGTTCCCATCTCCTTTCCATCTTGTTCTCAAATGGCCTGGAAGTTGCTGATGTATAGATAATCACCAATACTTTCGGAGAGAGCTTTTCTTATCTTTCCAGCACTTCTGTTTTTTTCTGCCTTCTTGGCCATCAAGTCTTGTGCTGGGCTGATCATCTCTATTATTATAATCGCCCATTTACGCTGGTAGAACTTGAGCTTGCTCTTCATTGGTCTGACAGTACATCAGTCGGACCCGATGGGGTGCATTATGAGATGTTGCACCATCACTCTCATGCCTCTCTTGCTCTTCTTCTGGTTGTTTTTAACCGGATCTGGCAGGAGAATGTTTTTCTATATGCTTGGCATAAGGCTATTGTTCTCTCTTTTTCAAAGCCTGGAAATGATCCCAAAATTCCTTCTAATTATCATCCAATTTCTTTGATTAGTTGTTTGTGTAAGGTCCTGAAGAGGGTGGTTAATGCACGTCTTGTTTGGTTCCTGGAATTAAATAACCTCCTCTCGCCCACCCAATGTGGTTTTCGTCGACAGTGCTCCATCATGGACCACCTGATTTATCCTGAAACCTCGATCAAGGAAGCCTTTCTCAAGAGGGAGAGCATCTTGTTTCTGTTTTATTTGATCTTGAGAAGACTTATGACACTACATGGATGTTTGGCATTTTCCCCATTCCTTCACACAGGAACTTGAAATTCCTCAGGGTTATGTCTTGAGTGTCACCCTTTTCAGTATAAAGATCAGTACTTTCACTAAACAACTGTGCCCTTTCAGAATAAATGGTCAGCCATTTCTCCTTTTGGCCTTCGTATCCAGGCACAGCTGGCTGAATTAGGGCTCTCTTTGGGTGACGTTGCTGAGTCTGATGATCAGCACATCCTGCCATGGCTCATTGCCATCCCCACCTGTGACCCTTCTTTGAGTCATCTGAGGAAAGCAGATGCTCTCGATTGGACGTACAATTTTCTCTTTGCCGAACATGTTTCGAACAATTCTTCTGTTCCCGTTTTTAAGGAAGGTTCAAAATCAGGTGACTCTCTGGGCTTTGCCATGATTTGTTGTGGCTCAATGGTTGCTCACAGGATTCTAAGCAGTAAAGTAACTGTATTATTTACACAGACCTTCTTAGCTCTTTACTGGCCCTGAAATAACTTTAATGTCAATTCTCACCCTGATCTCTTAGAAACGACTGGCTCAGTTTTCCATATCATCCATTTCTATCCAGTTTTTCTGGATACTTGGCCATGTCGGTATTCTAGGAAATGAGCGTGCTAACATCACAGCTAAGTCTGTCTGCTCTGGTGCTTTCACAGCCGTGCCTGTTCCTTATTTGTACTATGGTCCTGGCTTTACGACAGTTGGCAGTCGACTTGTGGTGAGCAACTTCATAACAAGCTGTTCCAGATCAAACCTACTGTTGTTTTTTGGCCGTTAAGTTTTTGTAAAGATCGACGGGAGGAAGTTGTCTGGTGTAGGCTATGCATTGGTCACAGTTTTTTTACTCGTCGTGTTCTTTTATGTGGGACTGATCCGCCAATGTGTGGCCTCAGATCACCATTTCAGAGATGTATTTTCTAAGGGTTTACCACTGACGCTGGACAGTGTCATTGACGATGGTGACACTGTCCAACTTGATTTTGTTTTTAGTTTATTTACGGGCTATTGATATTTTAAAATCTATTTGATTCTTTTACCTGCTTTCTGCGCATTGTTTCATTTTAAACTTGTTTTCATTTTACATTATATTGTATATTACTTGCAGCTTTTTGTACCGGTTGTTTGGCGCAGATAACTTTGCGCCATGAAACGTCAAAAACCAACCATTACTTTTATTTCAAAATATATATTTAACTAATGGATTCAAGGTTAATAAAGGGTTTTGTTGTTCTTCGCGGAATTGGAAATTTCTTAATAATGTGTAAGCCGCCAGTTTTGACTTAGTCTCTCCACACCATTGAAGGAATCCATTGACTCATTTACCGTGCTTTTGTTGCTTTCAGAATAGGTTATCTAAGTATTGTGTTACTGGAATGCATCAAAAATAGCTGTTGTGTGGCGTTACTACAATGTATTCAAACCAGCAATAGTAGAGTATCACTGCATTGTATCAAAACAGTTGCATTACAGTGTAACTACAATACATTATTATAAGTGTTACTACAATGCATTAAAACTTCTGTAGTATAGTGTAACTACAATGCGTTAAAGCAGCTGCAGTATAGTGTTACTACAATGTATTAAAAACAGCTATATTATAGTGTTACTACAATACATTAAAACAGCTATAGTATGTTACTGCAGTGCATTTAAAAAGCTGTAGTATGTTTCGGCAGTGCATTAAAACAGCTGTAGTATAATATTCCTATATTGCATTAAAATCAGTTGTTAATGTAGTGTTACTATAATACATTAAATCATCTGTAGTATAGTGTTACTACAATGCAAGCCTTCTATTTAGGTGGTTTGAAAGACAATTGCGTTGAACATCAAAATTTACACAGATTGAGATTAAATTAAGATCAGTATTTATCTTTAAACTAACAGGTTCTTCTTATACATCCGTATAATACTGTTTAAGTTCGTAATTTATATTTTAATACACGTAAGGTTGAAGGTGTATTTCAGTTTGTGCGTTTTTGTTGCATTTACTTAATAGAGAGATTTTCCGAGAAGCTGATAATTAATTTAATAAGAAAACGTACCAGTTCACATTAAGTAACATATTCATACCATAATCAGTTGAGTACTGCAATACTGAACAATGTCAGTTCTTATCAGCCCAGCTACAATGTAAAGCTTTATAACGCTCTAGGTGTGAGAGATGGTTTGGTGTAGGTTTTTTGTAAATGCTTTCATATCTAAAACGTATCTGCACAGAGAGGTGAAGAAGCCTTAACTGTTATATTTAACTGGAAACTCTCTCTCAAATAAAGAATTTAAAGGTATGCATATATTTAAAATACTGCAGCCAGATGAATCTAATTTATTTACTTCGAAGAAAATGTAGAGAAGTTTTGAATTTGATACATCTGAGTTACTAATTTATAAAGGGTGTTTCAGGACATTTAATGTGGGTTAGTATGCTCTTTCATTAAAACCGCTGTTTTATTCTGTAATATAGTTTCAGTTTTCTGGAATTATTTACGCCCAATAATTATCATTTTATTTTCAGATACTCTATTGATCTCAACTGCTTCCAGACGTGCCAAGCATTCCACAGCTTCTGACCGCAACACATCTGCTAATCCAAATTACTACACACTGCATCGCGGTGTTTTACAGGCCCCCGGAGGCACAAGTTCTATACCAGTAAGTTCTCTTTACAAAAATAAGAATATCCTATCGACAAGGTTATACAGACAGTAACTATTCTACCATGTTCATATTTCCTTTGATGCTTTCATGACGAGCAACGTTAGCTTACCTGTTTGATTACATCCAAGTTAATGTTCGATTAAAACAGAGAATTCTTTGAAAAACAACGTTTTGAAACTACATAGTAAGTTTTTTCTAGTATATAACATTTCATGTTATTTAAAGTAATTATTTAACACCAAAAATATAAATCCGCGGCACACTATAAACACTTGCAAATTTTTTTTTAAATGTTTCAGGTACAAGGTTTTTTTAAAAAACAGAATAACAAGTTTTCTACATAGATTCATGAACACAAATAATCAACTATATATGAATAATGAGCCTTCTTAATCTAGAAGAAGAAAACCTGGTTTCACGCTCTGTAGGAGTAAGCTGGGTTTCACACTTTGTAGGAGGAATAAGCTGGGTTTTATCACGGTGTTCAACTCCTCTTTTAGGAAAACATCTGACTTGATTTTCTGGAAGAGATGATCCCATCCACGACTCTGCTAAACATTTTAAGGAATGATATAACGCAAATTGTGGTTGCAGTTTGGGGTTTTCTCTTAGCTTCAGAAAATCCGCAGAAATCACAACGGATTTTCAATATGTCATGTAAGAGTAGTTTCCTCCAGTAACAACCAGTGAAAATTGTGCAACACGTCATTCTCTAATTTAACACAAAAACATCCACAAAGCAAACATCAAACACACTACAAGTAAATTGGAACACAATTCTTCTCCTACGAAATGTTAATAATTCTGTTGTGAAGTATTGCTTTACTTCAATATAAAATGCTTAGGAAAACCTATTAAGCTTAATCTTACTTACTGTGATCATAAGTACGAATTTTTTTTTCTGTTTCTGACATGTAACAATATAATAAAATCATGAAGAAAAGCAAGTAGAAATGAATGAACTTCAGCAGTCAATAAACGGGTTAAGTCTGTGTTTCAGTTTCAGGTAGGCTTGTCAAATTGTAACCTACAGCTACTTGGTTGGTGTGATGCGCAGAATTCTTGATGGGAGAGTTATATTATATATATGCACGCAAAACCGGTCCACTCAGGTCTGAGCATTTCATGGATTCGTTCAGGTAGCTCATAAGTGTTTTACTCGGCATCTGCCTTCAGTGCTTCGGAACTAATTCTCTCGAGATAAATAAGTGTTTCACAAGTTCTAGAATCATACGCGGATACTATATAAGTCATACATGTTGTGAAATATATAAAAATCATAGGCAGAAGCTTGTACTTATTTATGTGAGATGTGAAAATATTGCGAACAGAGGACATATTTTAATTTGCTCATTTTTCGAAATACGAAATAAAGAATCTTAAACAGAAAATAGCGAAATTAAAAGTTGAACAAATTTAGTTAGTGCGCTAGTTTTGCTGTAAAGTATTTGAATAGTGTTCAGAGAGTAAATTATTAGGCCAAACAAGTACCTTTCAAGTTAAGCTGCAACTATAGCGCCATTTACTAAGAACTTAACTTCGACAATAGATTGTTGGGAGAAATTTGTAGTCTATAATGTTAAGTACAATACATTAACAACACAGCGAATTCTACCAGCCAGCTATTGTTTTCCAGTAACAAAATCTTATTTGTTTAACAAGAAGGAACAACCTACAAATTCTGATGTAACTAAGTGTTTATCCGTGGTACACTTATCACAAACAGTTTCTTGCGTTACCCCATTGTGATAATCACATGTTAAAACTTTTCACTCCCAAAGTAGTGTAATACTCAACACGTGTTTAGTGAGATTTCTGACCTGTGCTGTATTGTAAAACCATCTGCTAAGATAACCTTGTATCTAAAAGATCACATCCAGAAATCTTCACCAAAGCAAAGGCGGAACAATTTTAACCACTCCATCAAACTGACTCCTAGCAAGAAATATCTTGTTTCACATGCAGATTTCAAATAGTCTGTTAGCGTAAAAGGATTCTGTACTCATTACAACTATTGGAGTTTGTGGTGTTCCAGTTTTTTTGTCCATTACATTAAAGCTAATCCATCAACTGCAATCTCCATCATTCAGTTTCCTCAAGTCCTAAAGAATGCTAAAAATGTTACCACTCTTCTTAAAGAGGAATAAAACAAGAATACAACTTTAGTAAGACCACTAAACTTAGTGATATAACCATGAGCATGCCAAGCTAAGTAGGAAGGTAACATACAGGGATAACAGTGAATCATCTGATCCTCAAGCATATTGTCGTGCTGTGGCCTATATACAAAATTAGATTACTTACAACAGAAAGAGGGGTCAAATTATGGTGTTCACGATAGGCATATCTCCAACCCCAATGACTTATTCATACATTGTAGAGATTATTTCACGAGAGATCAAAAACTTCATAGAGCATCGGTTATGACAAATTTTGCCTAGAATATTGAAAGATTAGCGAAAGTTCACCTTTGGAGACACTAATGGAGATAACAGTATTTTAATTGCTTTCAATAGCATGCAGTTAAAAGACAGTTCTTTCCATCAGATGAAGTTTTATCCCAACAGAAGAACACTTTGACGTTGTTACTTGTGATGTGTTCAGCAGAGTAATTCTTCTCAAACTTAAGGCCATCGATGAACCAGTCACATCTCAACGTTTTAGCTTTGTTGTTCATTCATCGACAAATCTCATTTTCATCTGAAGACGGCATTGAACTGTATGCTAAAAAGCACCCAACTTACAAAAGTTAACACCTCCAAGTTTAGCTTACATTATCGAGGTGCTGGGTGGATAAACTCAATTTTTTACATTCACATTTTTGATATATTTATAATCTTACTTATACTTAACTGTGAATAAAATTAGTTGAAAATTGCAGGAAAAATATTATATCTTCAATATTGTACTGCACAAGAAAAGTTAGCTACATTTTCACATACCGCTTCTTCGCCTTTATATTCAACTATTCTGAATCTGTTTTTGTAACCATGAACAAGGATACTTTAAAACTAAACCTATTATTTCAAGAATAGTCTCATTTGAGTTTACATGTTATAGATTTTAGTGTAAGGAAGAATCTGTATTTAAACAGGTACGACGTTTCGTACCTGCTTAAATAAATATTCTTCCATGTTGTAAAAGCCGTAATTTGTAATACATATATTGTAGTGTGTGCCTTATGAGTACAGCAAACCATCTAACTTAGGAAATGTTCGAATACCATACGATTTCTAAATTACTGTACATTCAAAATATGCGGTCTAACTAGCTTATATTTTAAGTTTTTTATTACCTAAATAAATTTCAAACAAACAATAATACAGATTTACTGAAGGAACAACCTAAGTTTACCACGAACATATTTACTGAAGGAATAACCTAACTCCTCCACGTGCATAGTGAGAAAAAAAATCTCAGTGTGCTGCAATGGACAGAATAAATGTTTACATATTTTTTTTTATTTTGTACTTACAGAAAGGATTGTATGGCTTCAAATTTGCTGTTAACCAAAGTTATGAAAATATTTTGCTCGACCAAACTTTTTTTACATTTCAAAGAGAAGGTAAGTCGTTAGTTTACATATCTTGCTACACAAAATTTCAAAGTTTTAGACATATTTTTCGTTTTCTAGGAGCAGTGGGATTCTTAACTGAAATAAAATACCTTAAGCTTTTAATACGTTAGGTAGATTGCTAATAGAGGTACTATGTTTATGGTTTTTAATGTAGTAAATGGAATGACAAACACTTTCTTTCCGTATCTATTAGTGCACCAAATATTTATGTTATTAACTTGGTGGTTTACGAACAATCTGTTGAAAAGACTATATTTGATATATATGTCTTAACACAATAGTATTAGATTTATTGAAATTTTAAACGCTACGTTTATTATTTGGTCTCTTACGGTTTTTCCGAGAAGAAGAGCGTATAATAATATTTTAACCACACTACGTCCACACTACGCACTCAGCACCAGAGCTCATCAGGCTAGCTAGGATGTAACAAACACAGTAATGATCGGAACACTATTTATGTAAGTCATTTGTTAGATTAATTCTAAAGGACTAAATAAATATTGTAGTGTTTGAAAGTACAACAAGCCTAGTACCATTGTCTCATGACAGATGTTATCGATTATAATCATTCTTACCGCCAAAGGCGTCAACACCATAAAAATTGTTGTAGACTATATATAATTTCACCAACAGTAACTGGAATAAAGCACACAGTAGGATTACGATAACTGGAATAATGCTCACATTAGGATTAACCTAATTGCAATAATGTTCACATCATGACTAGAAATCAACAGTAACTTAGACGCTCAAAAATTTAGCACAATAATCTGTAACTTATATTAAGTTATTGCAGAACATCCTAATATGTGCATTAGTCCAGTTACTGACTAGATGTTATTTTGTAATGTGCTATTTCAGAGGTTAACGATAAAACAGCGATTTATTGCCTGTATAAAAAAAAAAGACTCCTGAAGTGCGAGTTGTAGCTTCTGGGTAAAGTACAAGGGTTTCAGATTTATAAACGGTGAAACTTAGTGTCTTCCCACACTGAATGACTTAGTTCGTGGTAGCTGAGATTGAAAGGACGTGTTTAAAACATACTCTCCAGACATGTGCGATACGGATACAAGCTTGCCAGATATATATGAATGTTTGCTAACTAAATCACATTAATCAAAGGTCTTTGCTAATATCGTTAACAAACAATTTAGTTTATTTAATTAAATCAACTTGAATAAATCAATTATTTCTCTTTCCAACATAGTTGTTTTTCTGTATCTAATATGTTCAGTACTTAGTATGTTCACTACTTAATTCTAAACTCCTGACTAATAAAAGTACGCGAATCCTGTAAGAAGGCAGTTTACCGGGAATGTTATTATTAATGCAGCTCTCATGATGTCTGTGCTTATACAAAGAATAAAATATTAATCGTTAGATTATTTGCTCTATACAATGATTCTCAATAATGCTCCTTAGCATGAAGGGTTAATGATAGTTAGGTTTAGTCTTCCCCTGTAACTGTTTTGTCTAACATTGATCTTGCCCAAATTGATGGATATTATTACGTACTATTGGCCGTCAAAGAAATTCCACTGTAACAAGCATCTATGAATATAGAACAGAGAAGTCATTGTTACACAACTTGACAAAATGTTTACAAACACTTCATTGTAAGTAGACATCAATCTTCAAGATCACTTTTAATTAAATTACGTGCACAGAAAACTGTGCAGCTGGGTGACCTTACGGGCAAGTCAAAGAAAGGGATTATATAAACACCGGTTTTATTCTCAAGTCACATATAATTTGACTTTTAATATTGACTACATAAATATCGGCGCTCCGATGTGGAGTTCGAAGATCCCTTCATGATCCACAGAGACCCCAGTATACTGATCAAGTTCCTACATTATCTCTAGTTACTTCTATAGCTAACTGATGGGAATTCGCACCCACAAAATCCCTGTTAGGGTCCATATTCGTGTTACCTGAGCAGAAATGCTAAATTTGGTCCTACAAGCTTGTGAATTTGAATCTTAATCAGGATCTGGGAAGGGCAGGTGATATGTAGATCTTTTCCTCCCTCCGGCACTTATGTTGTTGGGATCCGATTATAAAACGGCACCGATAAATTAAGAACACTGTTAAATGCTAAACATCACATAAATGAGGGTTCTGTATTTATGCAAAGTCACTGTTGTAATTGCAATACCCCTATCAGGGCCATGCCCATTTATGTTCAACGTTTAGCATTTGCACTTGCACGCACTTTGCTCCATTTGGAATGTAGACAGTCTTCTATTACACACATAGTCCCATATATTCCAATGCTTGTTCATTCGGTAATGTATTTAACATTAGTACCCTAATAATACAGAGTGAATACACCATACAAATGATATGGTTAAGAGGGTCTAGCAGTAGGTAGCTGATTGCTATACATATAGTACATATTTATAGATATTAAGAACTGAGGCTCATTTCCATCATGTATGATATAGCGATGTAGTCAACGTACTAGTTCGTTTTTGTTCAAGTTTTTCTAGAAGTAAATGACCGATCTATTCAGGAGTCTGTCGTAGAGTGACTGTATTTTCGCATAATTGTGTAGGGAAACTAAACTTATTATGCGTGGAACTTTATATGCTGTAGTGAAGACTGAGTTTTGTATTGTTCGTAATTTCTGTTTAATTATGTGTGGTGTAACGTTAATCCAAGCCGGGCAGACATATTCAATTACCGGCCGTATGTATTGTTTGTAGATTTTAATATGTTTCTCGATTATGTGCCTGTGTTATTTCCAGATAGAACCCTGACGTAATTCAGCCGCTTCCAGATTTTGTTTATGAGTTCGTTTATGTGTTTCCCAGGTTAGTTTCTAGTGGTAAGTGAGGTCTAAAGATCTTCGTGATGTAGCAGTCTGTAGAAGAGTTCCATCTAGGTACATCTCAGGTTTATTTTTACGACCTTTATTGGATTTTGAGAACATAAGGACGTGTGTTTTTGATACATTATTTTTTTTTCTGTTGGCAGTATTCAGCTATATCAATAATCATGGGTTGTAAAATTGTAGCTGTTATGATGGTAGTTTGAGAACTATATCATCAAATTACTAAATCAGCCGGGAATTGCGAAGCAAAACAGGAATTTGTATGCTGAGAGACATCTACAATACATCTTCTACATTCACTCAATATTTTATAATATCTAAGAAGTTGGACAACCAACGAATAATTCCTCGCGATATTTCCATCTGAAACATCCGGAACCTTAGACCTGAGTGCCAAATTGTATCGAAAGCTTTCTCCAGGTCAAGTAAGCAGATGACCGTGCACTTTTTTATTAAAACTATCTATTATGGTTTCAGTTAAACTAAGTAGAGATAAAAACATAATTTCAAAAATCGAGTCCTTAGGATCTCTAAGGAGGCCATGAACACAAACTTCAACGCCAGAGTTGAGTTCAGCGACAGAGAAAACTTATTTCTAGACTCCATCATATCTGGATGACCTTCCAGCCACCTTTTAGTCTTTCTTGGTACACCAAATCAATAAAGGTAGGGCTGCTACGACAAATAGATAAGGACACCTCAGGCCATCCCGATCCCACATGGCAAGTTTGGCTTAATAGCTGTGGAAGAAGGTCGCGGACAAAAAATATTCACATGTAAACAACATGAATTAATATAAGATATAGCAAAACCTTCTTGGTACCCTGGTATACACTGAAGGAATTTTATTTCGCATAAATAGTATCAATGCATTCTCCTTATAGTAGCTAGCGCTCTCCTTTTTTTACTACAAGTTTTGTGTGGTTTACGTTTTATATCATATGGGAAACCTACAGCAGGCAAATATACGTTATATGATTCTTTGTTTGTCAGAATTCTCATGTAAAGCTACACAAATGGCTACCTGAGCATACCCATCCCTAATTCTGAGCTGATAGACTATGTGATAAGTAGTTAGTCAAAAGTACTCACCACCAAGCCATGGGCTTCTCTTATCTAACCGAAAATAGGGATTTGACTGTTACTGTTACAGCACACTCCCGGCCCCAACGTGCGGGTCGTATCTTTGTGGCAATGGGCCTCGAACCCTGAACGTTCGGATTTACAGTTAAAATACGCTAGTCACTGGGCCAAGTCCGGCCAAAAGTATAATAAAAACATCCCGTGTCTTCTCTGTACCATGTTCGAAAGTCTTATCACCTCGTGGTCGATAGCCTGTTTCTTGCTGTAGTCGTTCAATGAATGTACACACAGGTTTTGAATGATATTGCAGAAACTTCTATCTCTCACGTGCAAGATATTTTTCGTTCAGTTTGTTTCACCAATGTGCATTTAGAATAACTAGTGTACTTATGGTTTATGCTTCACTATAAGAGCCAAATCTTTGTAAATTATCAACACTTACTGCCTGTGTAGGATAGGGGTTTTCCTAGATGACCAATGTGAAAAACTTTGACAGACCCGCGTGTGGTGAAATGATGCTTTTTTGCAGTTTCACATGTGTTTATGTGCTGGTATCCCTTATCTGTTATATGTACAAATATAATAGGAACTCGTTTTTTATACCAGTTTTTCACGGTCTTTGCACACTCGTGCTATTTCGCTACATAAATATCCGCGAAGAGCTATGACATAATATTCTAGTCTTAAGTCTAATCGTTACATTTTACTGTGATCAGAAATTCACAGTGAACCAAATAAAGAGCTTGCACGAGACATCACAAAACTTCATTCATCACCGCTATATTGGATGTCAAACATTCCTTTCTGGCGATCAACAGTAATTCCTATAGATACAAGATTCGGTAATACTTTAGGGCGTAAACATCGTCTTTCGCAAAAGATATGGATCCTAAACTCTAGGCTGTTCAGTTTTTCGATATCGTTTTCTTACTGTGAATGGTTGAAATGATTCATAGGATCAGAAAACACAGAAGTCAAATCTGCATTTTTCACTTAATAGGAAAATAACAACTCGATGTCCAACACGGCAGAGTAAATTATAGATCTTATGACTTTTTTATGTCAG